CCCCCCCCCCCCCCCCCCCCCACTCCGACTTGTAAGCAGCTGCGTTTGTGTGGGAGCAGCACTAAGCGGAAAAGGCGCGGGGCCGAATTGGCTGTGTGAAACAGATGGACGCTCGGCTCGCTGCTTCTTGCAAGAAGCAGAAATTGAGAAGAGCGCTTTGAGAAAGCCTTGGCTCGGAGACTGTTCGAAGCAGGGGCGAAAGGGCACGCTACTGACGTGCTGCCTCCCACGCCAAAGAACATCCTCCCCTGGATGCGACCAGCCGTTCCCCTTTTGCACCCCTGACCTCGCCACCATGCTAGAATGCGTGGGTCTCACACGGTGTGGGAATGGTGCACAGCCTCGTTCCCTGTGCCTGTGCCTGAGCTTGCTGGGCCAAGCGGCTTACCTGATCCTTCGATGCTCACACTCAACTTCTTCTCCGAACCCGCAACAGGGCGCCGTCTCTCAGAAGACGAGACTTCTGAAGCAATGCAGCCAATCCATTGCTGGGAAATCAAGACAAGTCGGCGAGGTGGACTGCAGTAAGGAAGCAGATTGGTCTGACAGCTTCGGTCTGGACTGGGCTTGCGCAACATCCTCATTGGTGGTCGCTGACTCGGACCACGAGCTTGCCTGCGTGGCCGGGCTGTGTGGACCGTGGTGGGGGGGGGGGTAAGCGATGAGCTTGCCAAGGACGAGACTGGCGAAATCTTCCGTGCTCACCTTGCTGTAGTCGGTCTGTCGCAAGACAAAGGAGGCATCGGCTGCATTGTGAATGTGTGGCTCGACATGGAGCGAAGTACACGAAGGCGAGGAGGAGCAACTCACCAAGAGATCGTGTATCTTTTCCAAAGGGTACGATTTCGTCTTTACCTCGATACCCTTGTCCGCAATCACCTTGAGCATCTCGCTCACATCCGCCGGATCACCCAGCAGACTTCCCTTGATGGTGACGTCCCGGAAGACGAGCTGCGTAGAAAGCCGGGGGGGGCACATTGCTGTTTATCAGGCTTGTTGTCAAAACCTGAATCTTTGCAAATTGAGCACATACGCACG